CTTCTCTCTAGCTTAAGTAATTGCTCACTGATTCTAATGTAAGACAAAAATTTGGGTCTCATCCCAGGGTTAAGCTTTATTTAGCCTGGCCAAAGCTTACTGATTTTATTGATCTTTTCATAGAATTAGCTTTTGCTTTTGTTGATTTGCTGTTTTTGATTTTATTGCTTTCTGCTATAATTTTTATTAGTCTGCTTATTTATATCTCTAGCTTAAGTAATTGCTCACTGATTCTAATGTAAGACAAAAATTTGGGTCTCATCCCAGGGTTAAGCTTTATTTAGCCTGGCCAAAGCTTACTGATTTTATTGATCTTTTCATAGAATTAGCTTTTGCTTTTGTTGATTTGCTGTTTTTGATTTTATTGCTTTCTGCTATAATTTTTATTAGTCTGCTTATTTATAATTTCTTAAAGCAGAATCTTAGATTATTGCTATCTGATCTTTATTCTTTCTCTTATATTCACTTAATACTAGAAATTGCCCCTAGGCACTTTTATTGCATGCCTCCACGTTTTGACAAGTTGTATTCTTTCATTCAGTTAAATGTTTTTTTTTTTCCCTGAAATTTCTTTGGCCTGTGTGTTATTTGGAAATGTGCTCTTTAATTCTCAAGTATTTTTGGATTTTCTAGCTATGTTTTTCTAATTGATTTAGTCCCTTGTGGTCTGAGACCAAATGTATGATTTTTCTCTTTATTTTTTTGAACTGGTACAGATGATTGTACTTAGGGCCTTTACACTGAGCTACATCCCCAGGCCTTTATGTTTTTATTTTGAGGCAGGATCTCCCTAAAATTTCTAAATTGCCCAGGCTAGGTTGAAACTTGGCGATCCTCCTGCCTGAGCTCCTGGAGTGCTGGGATTACAGGCTTGTGCCACCATGCCAGCCTAATTTTTATTTTGTTAAAATACTGTTTTAGGGAGGTACCAGGTGCTGATGGTGGGGAGCACGTGGCTCAACAAAATGCCTGTATCATGGCCAGGAAGTAAAAGATAAAAAAAGGCAGGGGTCCCACACTTTTCTTAAGGCCACACCCCGGTGACCAGAAGCCTTCCCGTAGGCCCTCTCTTCAGGATCTCTCCACCTCCAGTAGTGCCAAGCTAGGACTGCACCTTTCACATACTGGTCTTTGGGGGACACTTTGGGTCCAAATTATGGCAGCTGTGTTGGATGAAGTAGTGTACAGATGCTCAGATACCCAGTTGATTGATGGTGTTGCTGCACTAACAGTGCTTGCTCTTATCTTCTACTTGCTAGATCTGTTGATTTCTGATAGAGGGGCATTGAGATCTTCAACTATAATGTGAATTCTTCTATTTTTCCTTGCAGTTTTTTCCTCACAGATTTTGATGATCAGTTGTTGGTTGCTTAGATATCAAATGTTGTTATTTCTTTGTTATGCTTGTGTCTGGATGTCCCCCAAAAGCCCATAGGTGGGACTTTTTGGAGCTGGCTGGATCTAGGGTGTGTGAATGTGGATTAAGGGTGTGATACTAAATTAGTCCACTGGTTGGAATTAGCATAGCTCTGTTGTGGCTGAGTGGATTTACTGAAGGCAGAAACCCCACCCTGGGTGTAAGTGGAACCACCCAAAGGTTTACAGGCTATGGGATTAAAAAGGCTTGGGGCTGCTGCTTCTCTGCTGCCACCTTCTGCCTGCTGTGCTGTGGACTGTTTCTCTCCTGTGATGCCTCTCGACCATGCCACCTTGCCTTGGAGCCAGCCAGTTAGGGACTGAAACCTCTACAGACTGTGATCTGACAGAGGCCTTTCCTCCATTATCTTTGGTGTCGGGTATTTTGTCTCAGTACTGAAAAAAGTAACAGTCTTCTTGGGTCATAGGCTTTCTTATTAGGACGGTGCTTTACTTTATCCTTGATAAATTTGCTTGCTGAGTCTGAAAATCTGTTGGGGATTAATGTGGCTATTCTTGCTTTCTTTTATTAGTGTTATCATGATGCCTTTCTTCATCCCTTTACTTTTTAATCTATACAGTGAGTTTCTTGGTCTTTGTTACATTTTGATGTGCACTATTTTTCTGCCTTTTTGGTTTATGCATTTATGATTCCTTTTTTTTCTGTACTGTGCCAATTCTTCTCCTTCCCCTCCTCCTTTTGCTTTGTCCTCTTTCTCTTCTCTTCCTCCTCCTCCAGTGGTTGCCCTAGAATTTGCAATACACATTTGCAAATAATCCAAATTCACATTCTGCTCTACTGCTTCATGAGTACTGCAAGTATTTTATAATAAAATATTCCTCTTTAACATTCCTTATTACATTGTTTTGTTCATTTCATTCATACGTAAATATACATAGTCAAACATCAGTGCATTACTATTTTAATCAAGCTTGTCTATTAGATCAATTGAGAATAAGGAAAAGAAATTGTTTTATTCTTGCTCTGATTACATATCTGATTGTCTTAAGAACTTCTGGCGTCTCATGCAAGGCAGGTGCCCTGGTGGTAAGTTCGTTCAGCTCTGAACTGTGTGAGGAAGTCTTTCTTCTCCCCTCACTTTTACAGGATGAGTCCAGAGTGCACAATGCTGTGGCGAGAGCCCCTCTGAACACTTTCAATACTTCATTTCTATTTTGTCTGCCTATGTGATCTTTGAGAGGTTGGATGTATTTCTTTGCTTCTGTGTAGACTAGGTGATATTTTTCCCCTCTGCATTCTTTCAGGATGTTTTCGTTACTTTGATTTTTTTCTGC